AAAGGGAACAAATCTTTACAGCAAGGATCATTCCCACCCCCTCCATACACAGAGTAGACAGGGATGGGCAACTTGGACATTGGCTACCCAAAATGGGGGACTTCAAAGGCAAAAAATGACTGGCTTACAAGCTTTCAAGAGGTAATCTAGATCCAGAGGGTGTGGAGGAAGGCAGAATCTCCACTGAGTAGTATCCAATCTGTCTAGGTGGGGCTGATGAAAGGAAATGCAGATAGGTCTCTTGTGATACAATAGTGAATAATTGTTTTATCAGGACTGATTGTGAGGGTTGGAATCGTAAAGGTAGACGTTTTGTAGCAAGGAGGGGGGTGATTAACTTTGCAGTCAAGTAGTGGAGGTCTCTGGGACCATCAAGGTAGAAGAGCGGAGAGCGGGACCCTACCCAGAGAATCAGTGATGCCAGAGATGGAGGCAGAGACGATGACGTGGAGAGATGGAGCAGCTGGGGACTTTAGATCCAGAGAGGGAGAAGGGCTGTATGCTCATGACTGGGGGGGGAGGGGAGGGGGGCAGGCTTGCAGGATATACCGTGTGGTTGGTTGATGATGCATGGAGGGGATTGTAACCATGGCAATGAAATTATATAAGATAGGATGAACGTAAAACTAATGTTCTCCCACGTAAACTATCACATAATTCACAATAAAACATTAAAAACATAAAAAATTGACCCATGGGCAGTAAAACAGGAAAGAAATACAACAAATATAACAAAGGCTCTCAAGATGCCGGGTACTAAGGACATTGGGATGTGTTTATGAGTAGAGGGGGTAAGGAGTGCAGCTTTTCTGTATTTTCTAAAATGTCTAAAATGAATACATACTACTTTCACAATTAAAATTACTGGGTTTGATTTTAAAGTTTGTGTCCAAAGCTGGTCTGGTTATCATCAGTCCCGAGTGTTTCAAACCACCACTGATTCCTCCAATCCTTGCCTGGCACCAGACAAACACTAGAGTAGCCCACCAAGATCCCCAAGTGGTCTGATCCCAGCTTGAATGAGTCTGAAGTTCTCCTTTCACTTGATTATGGCCTCCCCAGTTCTGCATGGTCAGCAGTGGTTGGTGCTGATCCAAGCTCTGTGTGGACAGAAGTATTAAATGGACAATTTACTCTGAGCTGCAAAATTTCTAAATCCAACTACATTCAAATCAGGGAGTTACTAGCATTACTTCATATTCTTTGGAACAGCTCATTCTAAGTTACTTTAAGGGACTGCATGGCATCTGCAAACATGTACATAATGACAAATATCCCAGTTACAAAATGGACAAAGGATATGCATAGATATTTCTTCAAAGATATATATATATATATATAATGTTGTTAAGTTCCGTAGAGTCGGATCCGACCCATAGCGACCCTGTACAGGGTTTCCGAGGGTGTAAATCCTTACGGGAGCAGAACGCCTCATCTTTCTCCCGCGGAGCAGCTGGTAGTTTCGAACTTCTGACCTTAAGGTTCGCAGCCCGATCCGTAACCACTACGCTACCAGGCCTCACTTATTAACATGGTTAAATTTCAAAGACTGGCTTGTTTTTGTTAAGTGCTGTTGAATCCCTTCTGACTCATACCCATCCTGGGTGAGGTTTCTGAGGAGCGCTGGTGGATTTGAATTGTGAATCTTGAAGTTAGTAGTCCAGCGCTTATCCTTAGTGCCACACCAGGACCCCCAAAGGCCAGGAAGTTATGTGAAAATGGAGGACGACCACATCAGATCACAAAAAAGAGGGTGACATCATTACATCTTTAAATTACATCATTACATAATTGTCAAACCACTGAGAATCATGGCTCAGCCAAGTTAACACATAACCTTAACTATCACAGACAGTGAATCCTGCTGTGGCGCTGTAGGATAAGCACTGGACTATTAACTGCAAGGATGGCAGTTCAAACCCAACAGTCACTCCTAGGAAACCCAATACAGGATCACTATGAATTGGAACCGACTCAACAACATCATCACAGAGAGCAGTTAATTTCACCTTGCCCCTCAGCATTCGTTACTGCCAACTAGTCGATAAAGCAAAAAATAATAGGATAGATGTCTTTTCTACTCTTGTCTTAAATGTGAAATGTTGGATAACGACATGTCGGTAAGTGAGGAGAGGATACACCAACAGCAGGAAAGCAGCTAAGATCACTACTTTCAGTCATCAGCAGGTGTAGGATTCCCAGGATTCCTACCCAGATTCTAAACCAAAGGTCTGATATGAGACCTTGGAATCTGCATTTTAAAGTGTTCATCCCAGGGAATTTTCAAGCAGATGGTAAGAGAGGCTTATTTTGAGAAACAACACCTTTCTTTACCAATGAGGAACGAGATTTGGCCCAGAACACATAAATGACTATAGGTGGTGAAGTTTCGAGCCGGGTCTCAGGCTCCCAGCCCAACTCTGTTCGCCACGTTTCCTAACCTCGGCCTATACTTGGACAAACGCGATAAAAAGCACCCACATGTGAGAGAGGCCGCCCGGTGCGGGGCTGGAAGAGCGCACAAAGGAAATCTGGAAGGAAGAGCTCTTGAGAGTCCCTCCCCTTCTCGGGGTCCCGTTTTCCCAATCTCTAATTGGCCTAAGACCCGCAGTGTTCCGTTCTGTTGTGCATATGGTCGCTATGAGTCGGTACCGATTCGATAGTACCTAACAACAACAATGGGTTAATGCGCCAGACTGCAAAGCCGGTTGAACCGCAAGGTCGGCCGTTCAAGCTCACCAGTCGCTCCTCAGAAACCCTATACAGGGTCGCTATGGGTCGGAACTGACTCGACGGCACTTAACAACAACAACAATTAAAGGCCGGAAGACCACAACGCCAGCACAACTTTGCTCCTGAGGCGGAGGGCCCAGGGCAGGGCCGTGCTTGTTGTCTCTGGGGCCTGAAGCTCAGGTGCCTCAGCCCGTGGGCTCCATAAAGGCAGAACACGGTCCCATGCACCCGCCTCCGCCGCCCAAGCCCCTCACGTACTTGTCACCGTGTAGCTAACGCCGCCCAGGCCACTCCAGCCTATCCGTCAGTCCGCCGACCGGCCAGTCCCACATCCAGTTTGGATATCTAACCGGACCTTAGCCCCCACCTACACAGACGACTCTAATCACCTGACGCAGAACCGCCTCTCTCAAGAACTTCCGGCCCCAACCGGAAGAGGTTGGCTCGCCACGCTTCTCCCGGCTCTGTCCGGCCTCTAAGGCTCCGCCTGGGGACGGGAAGCGGTTTGTTTTTCACATATCCTCGGTAGGGTGTTCTTGAAGAAAAGGCTGACTCTTTACCTCTGTCCCGAAAAGTACCAGTTGAGCTTGTTTCATCGGGTTATAAGGAAGTGCTCAAAGAATAATGGGAATACATCACTGGACACCAACTTGAAGGAGAGCCCACAATTGGACAATTTTACCATCAAAGTACGTAATGATACTAAATAATATAACTAATTGGATAAAATAGTAATTCACCAATCTTCGTTAGCATAAAAAAGTGAATACTTACATACGTAAGTAAGGAGAAGGAAAAGTTCTTCCTTATAGTAAAATGCCAGCTAATAAACATGAAAATCCAAATATCCTGTTCATGTAGGATATTTGCAGTGTAAAAGCATCTCCAATCCATTAGTTATTAATTACAACGAGAAAACTAATTTTATAGAGGTGCAGCCTTGTGGCGGAAAAGCCCTAGTGACACAATGGTTAAAGCATTCGATTGTTAACGGAAAGCTCTGCAGTTTGAAATCACTAGTCATGTCTCCGGAAAAAGATGTGACGGTGGCTTCCCTAAAGATTTGTACGTGGAATGCTTTGGGGAAGTTTTGTTCCATGCTGGGGATGATTAGGTTTGGTAACCTGGTGTTAGGTGTTAGGTGTTGCTGAGTGAGTTCTAACTCAGCAATCCGATACACAACAGAACAAAACACTGCCTGATCCTGAGCCATCCTCAAATTATGATAGTTGCTATGTTGTAACCTAGTGGAACAAATGATCATAGTACTTAGCCTTAACATTACCAGAAATGAAGAAGTAGACATCATGTACATCCTAAACAATGATACATCAAAAAGTTTGCCAACAATTCATTACTTGAACCACCTGAGAAGTGTTAAGTGCCATTGAGTTGGTTCTGATTCTTAAAGAGGTTTTATGCACAACAGAATGAAATACTGCCTGATCCTGCACCATCCTGACAATTGATATGTTTGAGCCCATTGCTGCTACACTGTCTCACTCCGGATTAAGTCCTTAGGGTCTTCCTATTTTTCACTGACCTTCCACTTTTACAAGAATGATGTCCTTCTCCAAACACTGGTCCCTAGTGACAACATGTCCAAAGAGCAAGAGACAAAGTCTTGCCATCCTAGTTTCTAAGTGGCTATACTTCCAAGACAGATTTGTTTGTTCTTCTGGCAGACCATGGTACATCCAGTATTCTTTATCATCACCATAATTCAAGTACATTAATTCTTCTGTAGTCTTCCTTATTCATTATCCAACTTTCACATTCATGTAATGTGACTGAAAATACCATGGCTTGGGTCAGGTGTATCTTATTAGTCCTCAAACTGACATCTTTGCTCTTTAACATGTAGCAGATTACAATAATGCAATAATCATTTGATCTCTTAACTGCTTCTTCCATGAGCATTGATTGTAGATCCAACAAAATGAGGTCTTAGACAAATTCAATCTTTTCTCCATGTATCATAATGTGAATTATTAGTTCCATTGTAAGGATTTTTGTTTTCTTTACATTGAGGTGCAATCCATTCTGAAGACTTTGATCTTCATCAGTAAGAATATCAAGTCCTCTTCACTTCAAGCAAGCAAGGTTGTGTCATCTGCATATCGCGGGTTGTTAATGAATCTTCCTGTAATCCTAACACACACCCTATATAATCCAATTTCTTGGATTATTTGCTCAGCATACAGGTTGAATAAGTATGGTGAAAGGATGAAACCCAGGTGCACATCTTTCCTGATTTTAAACCATTCAGTACTTCCTTATTCTATTCCAAAGACTGCCTCTTGGCCCATGTACAGATTCCTCATGAGCACAATTATAACGTTCTGGAATTATCCATTCCTTACTATATTATCCATAGTTTGTTAAAATCCACACAATGGAACGCCTTTGCATAGTAAATAAAGTACAAACATCTTTCAGGTATTCTCTTTCAGAAATTATCTAATATAAGCAATAATATACCTGGTTCCATGTACTATTATGAATCTAGCTTGAATTTTTTTTTCTTTTCTTTTCTTCTTTTTATGGTAAATCTATTTCATTCAATATTATACACATAATAAAATATTGCTGAAATATTTGACATTAAAAACATTTCTTTATAGGATGAGTGTAAAGCTGATGTTCTACCATGTAAACTATCACACAATTCACAATAAAAACTTTTTTTTAAAAAAGTTTGTCATTTGAATTCAAAAGATGACTTAAATAGTAACTACAAAATACTATGTTCAAGAGAAATAAGTTTCTAAAAAATAAAATGTATACTGAGAAAATCTTAAGAGAATGTACAGCAAAATGTGGTCAATAGTCTCCGATTTGCTTATCTGCATTTTCTACATCAGGTCTGTATTACCTGTGTATTTTATTTGTTTTCAATCGGAGTTAACTACATTTGAATTCAATAGAAAAATCTTCTAATAAAACATGAGAATTTAAACTGAATTTTGTTAATAATCACTTCAGGGTTTTTTTTGTTTTTGTTTTAATTTAAGGTTTTTATTGTGGATTGAGTGAAAGTTTACAGGGCACATCATCAGTTTCACATTCAACAATTCATGTAACTTGTTTCATTACATTGATTATAATCCCCTCCATATACCATCAGTTAAAAGTATTTCTCTCTATCCACTTTAGCTTTTTAAAAATCACCACTCAG